ATATATATATATATATATATATATATATATATATATACATATACATTGCTGAAGTGATTTGTTATGCTGGGCATTGATTTGTTAGTTACCAAGGACAGGCCCGAAATGGATGTGCGCAAGGTAATATTATACTGGATAATTTAAAAAGTTGACCATAAATAATTCTGGAAAATAAATATTTATTTAAGAAAAAATATAAAATAGAAAAGAGAAACATAAATTGCCTGTTTCACAAATAATTTTAGCCTTGCGAAAATGATTTATTCCTTGCGATAGAGAAACATAAATTGCCTGTTTTGCAAATAATTTTAGCCACGGATTTGCCCGGACAAATCCGTGGCTAAATTTAATTAAATCAATTTAAACTTTATAACTAAATATAATAAATTGGTCTATCAGCTTGGTTTTGCTTACATTTTATCTAAGTTGTAAACAAGTATTGGTTTTGGCACGTATTCATCAGTTGTACAAAAGCAAGAAAAATTTTGGATTTCTTGTTTCGTATTCATCCCGATTTTTTTTTCTGTATTTTACTTGCGTGATTTGATTGATTCAGATATATTTCAACTATGTTCGGGAAAAATCATAATTTTTTGTTTGTGATTAGGTATTAGCGTATTGGTCATTATAATTACCTTCTAATGGTTTCTTTACACACTTTTTAAGTATTCCTTGTGCAAAACAGCATTCTCCCTCCGCACAAGATCGCATACCACACAGTGACTCAGCAGTCTTGGGAAAATACATCAGAAACAAAAAAAAAAGATCATTATTCCAGAAATCATTTTCAAGAAAAAGAAAACATTTGTTTGACAAATCACATACTAATTTTATTTAAAAAGCTTAACAAAATACATCAAATGTATGTGTGTTTGTGAGTGTCACGCAACACAAGTCTACTCACAATAATGTGTGTAATGCCCAACAAAAGTAGACAGTGCCATTTAGCGCAGTATAATTAAATATTTATTCATTTCATAAACTCAAATTATAAGATTGATTTAGTAGCGTATTAAGCTGAACTCAAGTTTTAACAGGCTTATTTTTTTTCTTTTCGTTCTTTTCTAATCAAAGCTGTTATTATTTTTTTATTAAGAAAATCGATAGAAATTCGAAAATAATTTATGTCGTCCTTATTTCAGTTCTGATAGAAAATAGTTTCATGCAAGTAATTTCTTTAAAAAATAAATACTTTTTTTTCTTTTCGTCTTTTCATTTTTTTTTAAAAAAAAGTTTTTTTTTAATAAAACTCGTATTGTAAAACCCCTATCCTACACATTAGCTTATTAAAAATGAAGTAATATTAGAGTAGGGATATTATTACGAGTTTTAACAACAGCAAAAAGTTTAAGGAAATAACACAATAACACAGGGAAATACATAAGCAGTTTTTACTCGATTTTTAAGGCATATGAAAAGTTACGCCTTTTTTTCAATGCGAAGCAAAATGGCAATACTGGCTTAAACAGTTTTCACCCCTCGCTATGACAAAAAGATTAAATAACAGCTTGATTGCTGAGTTTTTAGTTTCATTTTTTTAATTTTAATTAAATTTATGAAAATCGCTGCAATCGTTTAGTTATTTGTTTAATTTAGCTCTATGAAATGCTTAGATGTCGACACCAGAATTGCAGGATTTAATACAATAATAGCCGTATTTTGATCTTACCTAAAACCACCATTTAGGGTTAATTTAACCCTCATAGAAAATTGACGTCATTCCAAAGTAAATTTTTTTAAATGACGAATATTGTTAAAAATGCAATATAAAAGAGTTTTTAGGGATTAAAAAAAATATTTTAACTTATTGACAATATAGTGCATTATTGTATTACAGATTATTCTTTAGCCGGATCGTAAGTCATCTGAAATTAAACAAAAGATAAGAATGTAAAAACACGCCTTAGCACACAGCAAGTTTTATAATGTGTAAGTTCTAATATTAGTTAGACATTAGTACTAGCTGAAGTACTACAGTATCTCTGCGTGATGCAATTTTCACTGAGGTAAATTTCACTAAGGTATCTCGTAAGAGTTTCATGTTGGAAAAATTTAACTTTGGTAAACAGTATTACGTCAAATGATATACTGAATACAATTTATCTTTATTTTGATGGGATGAGCTACTAAATATTTGCTTGATTAATCTAATTATTCAAACTTTATTTATCGTGTTGGTATATACTTTTTAATTCAGTGCATAAAATTGTACTGAATATGTTAATTTTTTTCACGACTTACGGACAATGGGTATGAGGCTAGTCTAATATAAGAAAATGAGTAGTTTTGTTTTTTTAATAGGTGTCTCTCCAGAACTATTGAACAAATTCGTCTATTGTCCTAAAACTTGAACAAAGGGTAAGGGGACAATTTTATTCCACGATCCGAAAACCTCTTAAGAATTTCAATTAGATCAGGAGAGACATTTAAAAATTAAAATTTTCCTATTGGTTAAAAGTTAGCACTATTGATATAAATGAAACTGCTGACCATTCTGAGGATAGAGTCAGTGATGTTTGCTTACTTATAGCTCTCATTTATTTAAAAAAAATGAGTTTATTACATTTTCTGATATATTTAATTAGTTTAGTTTTGTCAGATGTACTTAATGATCAATGTGAGCGTGGTAGCATAAGTGGAATACGCCCCATATCAATATTTAAGTAATATGAAACAACAATTTTTTTTATGTATAATTATGCTTTTAAAACGTATTTCGATTAAACTAAAGAATTTTAATGGAGAAATGGTACTAATTCAAGTAGGAGGAAAGTAAATAACTCTAGACTATTACTGAAGCCAAATGATGCATAATTAATTTTATTAATGGGTACTAATTAAAATGAAATTATGAGCTACCAATTATAAAGCAAAATTAATTCAAAAATAGTTCTAATTCGTTTAGGGCAAACGTAGAAAATTGTCATACTGTTATTGACACCAATGATGCTTAATTAATTTTAGTAATAGACACTATTAGTATTATGGTGAATAGTGCAATTTTAATCAATACCAAGTATACTGATGTTAGTTAAATTAGTATATTTGGCACTTATTAAAACTACATGAATACTGTGTAGTTTCATAGATTATGTGGGAAAATGCGTTTTACGAATTTTTAGAATATATAAGTACCAGAAAAAAATCATAAGATGTGGTAAATTTTGACCATTACGAGTTAGCCTCAAATATTAGCATTCCAAAAGACGCTGAATACAATGAATCGTAATTTTGATAGGATGAATTACTAAAAATATGTTTTTCTTCGTTTAATAACGTAAAGTCACCAGCGAGAGAAAGAATAATAATAAATAAATAAAAATTGGAATTATTTTAGCTTCAATACTTACGTTGGCTAATAACTTTTTCTTTTACACCTGATTTTGTTCAGAAATCATTTATTAATAGAAATATTTGTTGCATTATTGATTGATATTATTTTCCTCGTTTATTGATTGATCTACTTTTACCCTTTTAAGGAGAACGGATTGAAGAACTCGCTATTTCTGGAAGAAAATTCAGATAGTCTAAGATGAAATGAAGAGTTTGTGCGTCTATGAGTGTTAGTGTGTGTGTCTTTTTCATAATTCTAGAACTACTTGTCTACCATCCAGAAATTTAGACAGTGGTTGAAAGGGACGTTGTTAGACCTATATTCTAAAAACCGTTGATAAATTTCAATTCAGTCATTTGGGAAAGATGTTTACAAAATGGAATTTTCTGTATTGGTTAGGCATTAGCAGTTGTTATAAATTTAATTGGAGATAATTCTTATTTTTTTCAAATACTTAAAAAGTAATACCAGTAATTTTGTTTGGAATTATGGTAAATGGCGCTGATTTCATAGGTATCAAGTTAACAAATATGAGTAGCGAGAATCCTACCCTAAATAATGTGATAATAGATTTATTAAAGCCCTCTAAAAGAATAATTACCAAAGAAAATTACTTAACTGTGGTAATTTTTTACAATCACAAGTCTGTTTCGAGCAACACCATCAGACCGCATTTTTCTCATAATTTTCTAATGGAAATAGTTACATTATTTTTAGTACTTACACAGATGAATGCCAAGCTTAATATTATCATGAAGCCAAGGAATTTCATATTTTATGGTAGCTGATAGTCGTTTTTAATGGTACGTTATATTTCTTCCACTGTTGTTTCTCTTTTATATACCTACGTTAAAATATAAAAATAGATGTGATATTTACACATATTGTCACATTTTCCTTAATTGGAATTTTTATTATGTGAACATATAATAAAGATTGTTCATTCAGATAAAAAGCTACACTTAATCGTTTAATTAAAATCGCAGTCAGGAGATCACAGGAGAACATTATTTATTTCAGCTGCTTTTAAATAACGGTGAGTACGACATTACAAGCATGAGTTTCGTTTTATGCCTCCATATAACTATTTATTATATGACATCAAGAACTAAGAATTGGAATACATCTGCATCCATTTATTATATTAACTCTATTAGATATGATGAAAAAAACACGAATAAAAAAGTAAATGGTAGTAGTTAAAATTTACAGGGTAGTACACTCTGGTTTACTTATGTTATTTTAAATATAATATAAGTCCCTGGAGTTATGTCATTCATCTCTATATAGATTAAAGCGAAATGTCTGGAAGCATGCTCGTTTACGATTTGAAAACGAGAGCGCCGATTTGGATCGTATTTTTTTTTCAGCAGTTTGCAAGTTTTTATGGACTGGTTTCTTAACAATCACCACTTTCCGGTACAGTGCCAAAAATACGAAATTTCCTTTTAGAAAAAAATTAAAACGTGTAAAATTTGTTGATGAAATTACAATTACATTTGAACAATTAAACACTTACAATTAGACAAATAAACTATCACGATAAAAACAATTAAGCAATTATAATTAATACATAAATTGAAAGCTACGTTATCGTGGACTCAGCATCTTATGTTGTGGTAATGTTAAACGTAAATTAAATGTGCTTATTCTTATCTAAGCAAATTGCATTTGAATTTTAAGGTTTTTAAATTGTCTTACTTTTTTTACATCTTCAAGTTTATTAAATTATTTTACTAAAATATTTTAATATCAACTGAGAATAATAATAGTAAAATTTTCACATCGTTTCGGATCACGAACTTTAAATTTTCGAACTAACTTTATATTTTTATCTTTTAAGTGAAAATATCACAAACTTTATAGAAATATTTAATGCTTATCGGTTGGTGATATTATGAAGACAAGTTCATCAGCAAGGGATTTGCACAAGTTTCCGGCTACAGATAATGCACATAGGTGCATCGAATATGACAATATCGCGATTATTGTACAAAGGGAGGATTGCATTTTGTTGGGGGAAAAAACCTTCTACATATGGTCATATTTGTTTTTTCCATAAGTATTCTTTAAACGATTTAACGAAATTTTTGTTCAAAATCTCTGGAGAAAATCTCCCTTTCACAAGAAGCACAAACGAACGACAAATCACCACCACTACTGCCAAAGCCTTCTATAAAACGGGAACAACAAATTTGTCCGTTAAAAAACGGGACTAAATATCTGTACAAAAACTAACAGACATGAATAGGCTTCATAAAAATACGCAAAGCTGCGAATGCTTTTTGAAAGGATTTTGGAATAAAATAGCCTCTCTTGATTCTGGAACGGTATGCGATGGTTGGTTTACTTGGATATTCGACATTCCCCTCTCCCGATCTGATCCTGTTAAAGAATAGCCTGCTTTAATTTCTTCTAAAACTTCTGGTGTTTGTGATTCATCATTAGAAGAAACTAATTATTTTCCTATCAAATCGTGTCTATTGTTTGGTGGAGTTTGGTTTTGGAGTTATCTTCATTGACTAGATTAAACTTTCATCAGTTATGCATCCTTTAAATTAATACTAAGTTTTGTAAATTTTCCTTTAATGAGTTTTAAATCGTTAAAAGGCAAAATTTTCTTATCAGAATAATAAATCTATCTTCATTTAAAATTAAATATTTCATTTCATTTACTTAACATATTTTTCTCTACATTTTTAGATGCTTAAAAATCTTGCATGGTAGATTTGCTAGACATTTTGCAGATGGTGTTTTCATCGGAAAATAAAAACTGCTTGATTGAAATATTTTCAAATTTACATAATTTTTATTATTCCATAGGATTCATAATATTTTATCTAATAATAGTGTTTTTATTGAAATTCCGGTAAGGAAGAGTAAAAAATACAATTTAGTCTGGATATATATAATTATTAAACAAAATCTATATCTATTCTATTCTATAAATCTATATGTATAGCGATTTTTAAAAAGTTAAAAAAAGCTGTAATTTGACATTTTTAACTTGGGAAAAATAGTTAAAAAGTAATGAATAAATCATGATATATTTGGGAAGCGAATAACACTCAAAAGTTTAGACATTTGTAAAAAAATTTATTCGTATTCAAATGTTATTAGTTTTTCTTTTAATACTATTGAAATACTTCCTTTTAGCACTCTTTAATTATATATCATCAAGAATACACTACATCTACACTTCTTTTAATGTTTTCAGATCATTTATTAGCCCCAAAATTTCGTTAAATTATTTTCTAAAAAAGATATTCTTTTTAGACTTCTTTTCTCAGAAAAGTTATTCAACTTGCTAGAAAACCTAATATTTTTTTTAATATTTTGACATTTCTTCTTTTTTAGTCAACAAGTCCACGTGATAGAATGGATACAGTTATAAAATACATTTATATTTTATTATGAGTACTCAATACTTAATATTTTTGCCAATGGACGGCGCTGTTTAATTGTGCAATATACAACTTTTAATAATATTTATTTAGAAGCTTAACTATTAGAAAATAAATACTATTAATTAAAAGAGGAGAAGAAAAAAATAAGATTACTTTCAAAAACATTTAAAAAATATTTTTCATGCATCTTAAAAAAAAAACATTAAACTTCCAGAAAACAAAATAAAGAAAAAAAGATATAACCTCCTCATCAGTCCACACGGTTATATCCACAAAAAAGAGTGCTTTCTAATATTGTATTAATGTAGACAAAGCAAAATATATCAATAGAATAGTGTAAGGAGCACTCAAAATATTTTTTATGAAACAAAAATAGAACACATTCATTAAAAATTATATATATTTAATAAAACAAATCAATCAAAAACAGAACATAATAAGTGAAGGAAATATATAAAAAGCACGATAGGAAATCTATAAGACTAGGAGCTAATTCAAATTAACTTACGCGTGCCGGAATCACAGCGAGTAATGATTTAAGAATGATTTAAACTATTTTTATAATACGATTGCCAGATTGCGAAATATGAAAACAGAAGCGTAAATAAAAAGATCTCTTATGGCACGTTCTTACTGCAATACTGAAGAGCGTTTAATATGTTAGATACCTAGGGTAATAGTTCATTGGAATTCGCTCCTCGTCTTATAAATTTCCTTTCGTGTTCTGTTAATATTTCCTTCACTTATTATGTTCTGTTTTTTGCTTGATTTGTTTTATTTCATATATAGTTTTTAATTAATGTGTTCTATTTTCGTTTCATAAAAAAAAAATTTAAGTGCTTCTCTCACTATTGTATTGATATATTTTGCTTTGGCTATATTAATACAATATTAGAAAGCACTCTTTTTTGTGGATATAACCGTGTGAGCTGATGAAGAGGTTATATCCTTCTTTCTTTATTTTATTTTCTGGAATTTCAATATTTTTTTTTAACATACAAAAAAAAACATTTAAATGTTTTTTAAAAATAATTTTATTTTTAGAATTTTTCTTCTTCTTTTTTAATTAATCTTTAGTATTTTCCATATTTCCTCAATATTTAAACTTATTTTAAGAGTTCTATATACAGCTTATACACAGTTAATAAACTTATTAATTCTCTTCGTTTTTCTCTCATTTTTTATCTTCCTTGTCTTCATTGATATATATA